TTTGTTAAAGTAGTTAAGAGCAGATCTATACCAATCAACAGCTCGCTCCCTCAACTTATTCACCTCACTTTGGGAACATCTTCTGCTTTAACCCTTTTTCTCTCATGAGCCCTCAAACCAAACTTTTTTTTTTCTTTAATTTGTCAAATCGAATCTAATTGTCTCCCATCCGACATCGTCACCCCGTTTCAAACCCCTTCAGTTCACTTGTTATCCGACAGATCCCTTCTGACATTTTAAAACTCTCTTCACCATCTCGTTGAATCGGGGTGTTGAATCATCCCCGACACTTTCAGCGCCTACATGGAGCCATTTAATGCAGAGTGGGAGTGGGAAATATTCAACTGAAACATATCATATGGTCCCTTTCTCAAACAGCTTCCTCCACACTGAGTGAACTCCATCTGACGTCCCAGAGACAGTTGAATTAAGCTCCCTAAAAAGGTGGAGCTGATAAATAAAGCAGTAAATGAGTCTGGTCCTGCTCAAGCTTTGTGCCTCTTAAAAGGACGTTTTTTGTTTTTTTTTACTGCCACTGTAACTTTTCCTAAATGTTGCTTCGTGCTCATGCTGGATTAACTAGACTCACCTTTTCAAGCGGTCTCGATACGGTTGCTCCGTCCACAACAGGGTTTGATTGACAGCTTTCAAATGAACCTCACTAACATGCAGAAAAGAGTCGAGTTCGTTTTCACCGCACAACACAGGTTAGGTCTGAAAACGCCCTTAGAGGTTTCTTTGTTTTTCTACTTTGAGGGAAAATACAATTTGAGGAAAAACTGTTCAGAGAGAAAATGTAATACCATAATAATAAAAAACAAACTACAAACAAACACAGGCTGTTGTTCTTTAAGAGAAATAGCTGCAGTGTGAATTGAATCCTCTAAATTAATGTGTTAATTTGTGCGTTTGATTACAATATTTCCTTTGTCTTTTTTCTTTTTTATCTCACACATTCAAACACACGCATCGTTGTTGACTGGGACACCGGCGTTCCCCGGAGGTTTCCGATGTTTCCAGAGGAGTTCAGCTTCCTTTGAGATCCCCCCCCAGCGGAGGCAGCGGGCGCGCAGGCAGGGCGGACCCGACCGCTGACCCAACAACAGCGAGTGTTTGAGTGTGTGTCCCGGGGGGGGGCGCTGCGACAACCCTGATCATGTGTGTGAATCCACAAATCACACTGAACAGCAGTGCTCATTACCTTTCCGTTCGTTTCATCTGCGTGTCCCCTGATGTCTGAAGTTCAGACGTGATCAGATATTTGTGTTTCAAGCAGCCTGGCATTTTCATTCTTTTGTCTGTAATGTTGTGAATAAAACCGTCGCTGGTTTTATGTTTCACACACCAAAGGAGGATCAAGGGGAAGACGGCATCTGTATTCTTTTCATCTACTTTTTGTTTTTGTTGTTTTGCTCTTATAGAGCGCTGAATATTTCAGACACCATATCCTGCTCCAGTCAAAACGCTGCGCTCGTACAAATGTATTGATGATCTCTTCATCTCTCTTTCAACTACAGGAACTGACTTTATTTGATGGTATTTTTAAAACACAAACAATATGGTTTTTACTTCCAGCATATACAATCAATAAAAAGTCAAACTTTTGTCTCCTTGAGTTGGAGGAATGATGGTTTGTGAAGGGAAAGTACTCTTAAAAGAGACTTACAGCAACAATATGTAGGAACTTTGTCTGGTCCGCTTTGGCGCCCACCAAAGGTCATAAGACACACAAAGTGCAGTTGCACCGCCCACTCTTCCTGCTAAATTCCACCTGATGCTATTCGGTGTACGACGCATCAATTTACCGCGGAGCAGATCGAGCGGGACAGGAAGTCAGACACCGGAACAACATTCAAAAAAAAATCTGGTTTATTTTCAAAATAAAACACTCTGTTTTGATGGATGGAAAACAACGACCTTATGTGTGTTTGTTGTTATGTTTGTAAGGGTTGTATATGGATTTATACCACATACATCGTTTTATTTTGAACTTTCGCGTGTTATACTGTAATAACCACGGGATCTCCTAGGTCTCGGTACGCCAGCTGTCCGGCAGGTGCTATTCCGTGCTGCGCTCTGAGAACGCGGTGTGTGGGAGTTGACGGACGAGGGAGCGCTGAGCCGTTATCGAAGCAGAGCTGACACGCTATGCACAAGTTCTGAGTCAGACATCGTGCGTCTGCCGACAAACAAAGGGTGACGAAGATGTTGTTAGATGAGTCCGTAAAGTGACTTTTCTGTTGTTTGCAATCACTTTGTACTGAGAAGGTTCTTGAAACAGACACAGAGGGTACCAGGAAACAGACCCAACAGGTTTCCTTGAAACAGATGAAAAAAATTGACCTTATACACCAGGGTACATTAAAGGATGGGTCTATCTGAATCTATACATGGGACTTCGAGCAGAAGCTAAATGGCACCTGGAAACAGACACTGACAGACACAGCAGTGCAGTTATTTTGAAGGAAAATCTGTGTTTGACCTTTTGTGAGGTGTAACTATTTTGAAACTAGCTAAGCTATTTGATAATAGTGTTACTAATTGTTAGACAGATAAGTGGGTCTTAGATTTTCCAGTGTGATCCTGAAATTTCACATTTTTCCATTTGGCTTGGGAGTCTACAGTAAATAACAACTTGGACACAATCCAGACAGGAATATCTGACACTCGCTCTACTCACTCACTCACTCTGTGTTTTGTGTATTTACATTTCAGAGTTGAGCAGCACACAGAGCTTCACACCTGAGCTGTACACCGGGAGAGGAGTCCCCCCCGTGGGTGAAGCTGCCTGCTGGTTTTCATGTCAGAACAGATTTTTGGAAGGATGGCGGAGGAGAGATGTGAGAGGGAGGAGACGAGTGTGAGGGATGTATATGTGGAGCTGGAAGTTGAAAACAGCGCAGAGCTCAGGCTTAGGCAACACAAACAAGAGTGTGTCAGAATATTTCCACACTAGCAGGAGACACCAGGGGGGACGGTTACGCTACGATAACGCTGCTATCTGCATTACTCAATGCTGACTGAGATTTTTATCACCGTGTTCCGTCTGATAATCACCAAAGAAAACCTCAAGAGGGATTTAGAGTGGAAAGTAGCGCTATTCAAAACAACTTGATTCTTAAAGTTCAGAAATTATTTTGAAAAATAAAAATACTGAGCGGCAGAAGCTCAGTCTGTTAGGACTCGGGTTGGGAACCAGAGGGTCGTCAGTTCAAGTCCCAGTACGGGCCAAAAGTATGGGAGTTGCTGTGGCTGCTGAGAAGCTGCCAGGTCACTTCATGAGTACTGCCGAGGTGCCTTTGGGCAAGGCACCGAGCTCCCAACAGCCCTGGCGTGCTCCCAGTGTAGCCGCCCCCACTCTGACATCTCTCCACTAATGCATGTCCACAGGTCCTGTTTGTGCATGAGTGTGTTTCAGGCCTACGTGTGTGAGAAGCATGTCTCTCAATAACAGAGTGTAAACCTGTATTTCCCATCAGGGATTAATAAAGTATGACAAATTAGAAAAAAATCTGAAAAACATAATTTCTACAGTTTGGACGGCGATATGTTGTATTATCCAGTGAGTATGGGGACTTAAAAGAGATGGACTCAAAATAAAATATATGATTTTATTAAAGATATGAAGCTGCAGAGATGTTATTATTATATTTTTTGTTCGGATGTGGCTCAGTTGGTAAGTCCCTTCAGTTCAGTCCAATTGGCCAGTGCTACAAGTTTTGTTCGGTGCGCTGAACTGAACATGTCTTAAACCAGTTCTCAGTCAGTATCTCAGCCAACACACTCAAGAGGGGGCTTACATGGGCCTGGCATGGGATAAGTAGACTTCAACTGTGTATGAGCTTAGAGTTCACTTTTAACTGGGTCCAAATGGGTAACCCCAGACGAATTCACACTGGTAGGAAAAGAACACACCATTTTAGACACACACATGGTCACTAGACAGTTCTTCTTTAGGCCAGAATAATAATCTGTTTCATCAGGGCTGTCCCCATGGAAACGTAAAAGAATAGTTATTTGTCCTGGAGTGAGGTTGTATGAGATACTTATCAATAGTAGCTGTATTAGCTACAGGAGATGCTGATCTTCATGGTCCCTAAAATGAAAGAAAAATGGTGGGGATCCTGCACAGGAGCTTCACACACTGCTGTGGATTGCTGCAGTTGGGGTCATTTGTACTGCATAGTTAGATAATTTGAAGAATAAACAACCTCAAAAGCTATTTCTGGGCAAGTAGACACTACATACACTACATTGAGAAATGTTTCAGTGCATTAGTTTATTAAGCAGCTACCTGCGACACAACATGTATATATTCCTCTGACAGCTAAATGATTTTCTAAACTGGGTTTGCTGGGTGAATTAGACAACACTAGTAGACCATGGATTAAATCCCAGGCTGATGAAATACACTTAAAATACTTTACTTAAACACCAATTCACCACGACAACCTTCCAACTTTAACATTTTAACTCGTCTCATTCAGGGCAATGTGCTTCCTTTACTGGCACTGGACACAAATCATCAGGTCCAATGTGAGGTTTGAGGTTCTTAAGATTATCTCATCATGTTCTTCCACTTGTAGAATAAACATATCAGTATTTTTGAAGTCCTGAATAAGATTCAGGAATAGTATTGTTTAAGGTTTGGCAAAAAACAGCGCTGACTGCTGACAGGAAACACACACAGAAAACTCAATACTTTCAATCTTCTCCACAAAACTTGCAGAAAAATAACGTCACACTACCTCTCCTGCTCTGACAACGAACAGAAAAACAAGTTGTTCAAAACATTCAGAAGACAAAGACCAAACCAGGTGTTTGAGCGGGGGGACATTGCCTGTTGGATGATGCTTCAAGAGCAGATTAGGGTAGAACTCAAAAAATCTGTCCAATACTGCGTCCTCTTATCTGTTCCCTTCTTTATGAAAGGTTTTTTTTTGTTTTTTTGGATAGATATGTGCTTTCAGAATGAATGCAGATGCAGCATTGTTACTTACCAACAGGCGAGGGAGTGCTGCCGCTGCTGGACGGCTGCTGGATCTGCAGCCTCTGCGGAGACGGCGGCGGGAGCTGTGGCAGGGAGCTGATGATCGAGGGGAACAGGAAGGGATACACTCCGGGTGTGTAGCGCCTCATCTGGACCAGCGGAGGACTGCTGCGGGGCTGGGCGCGGCTGGCGGTCTTCATCACAGCGACGGGCGGAGGCTGCACTGAGCACTGAGCGAGCTGAGGTCTGGCGTGGCTGGGAGGCCATCGGGTGAACCCTGGCTGTGGTTAGTGTGTCTGGAGCGGGTGTGGTACCACCTCAGCACTCCAGAGATGCATGGTGGTGGGGTTTACCGTCACCCAGGTCGACTTAGAGGCTGCTTTCATCAACACTGTAACACAGACACGTGGAATATACGAGTCGTTATCTCTGTAGCTCTTTGAACAGCAGGTGATGACTGAAAATGTGCATGAATGGAAGTACAATCAACGTCAACATCATGAGAAACTCATGGGACTAAACTGGATAGAAAAGTGTCGCACGGTCAAATTTTATTAGTGGATGGGTCTTTTCCTGTCTCCTAGTTTCCTCTCAGTGTCTTGTACAAATTCTCTCAGTTGATTCTTCACATATTCAATCCCTGTTTTTGAGCATATGCACTTGAACAAAGAAGGTAATATTATAGAAGAGACGTTATACAAATATACATACAAGACATTTTCAAAGGCATAATACATCCGCTAGATAATCCTGTGACTTCCTCTCACATCTAGAGGCATTTTAGGAATTATAGACAATGTTTTTGTGAAGATCATGTATCTAGCAGGAACACTGAAGACATTACTTTTGCTACATTCAGGTTATGATTGTAAACCTCTTCTGGTGAAAATGAGGATAACAGAATCATGGTCACAGCTGCACCCCTGTGACTTTTTTGTGGACAAAATGTTAGCAGGGTTAGCAGCCAGAGCTAGCAGGTTCCATCACATTTTAAACTTAAATTACAACATTAGTCTCACTTTTAGGTGACATTCAGCGAGGATATTGTGAAGGGCCGCAATCACTGTGAAAAAAAGGCTTTTAGTGTCCCTTTAAGTTCAGGTACAAATGCAAAGATTCAGCAGTTCAAGGGGAAGTGTACACACAAAGGGAAGGAGGAAGTGTACATACATACACTTCCCTTCCGGTAATAAAAATGCATTCTATGTTTTTTTTTAAGGGGCACTCTTTTCTAAGTGGACTCTGTGAAGGAAAACATCCGTAACCGCTGAAGAAAGTAGTGTGTCTTTTTTTTTAAATATTTTTTTGGGGTTTTTTTGTGCCTTTATTTGAGAGATAGAACAGTAGATAGAGTCTGAAATCAGGGAGATAGAGAGAGCGGGGAACGATATGCAGGAAAGGAGCCCCAGGTTGGATTCAAACCTGGGCCGCCCGCTTGACCACAGCTTCCATACATGGGGCGTGCGCACCAACCACTGCACCACCAGCGCCCCTTGAGTGTCTTTTTTTAAGATTGAACTTCCTCGACAGGTTCATTATCTATTCCTCTTCTCAGTTTGAAGTATTCTGGAACAAACAGGTCAACATTATCCAACTGAGGGGTCAACAGAGGACTTATCATAGTACTGCTGATAGTTTAAAGGCTATAGATTTGGACTAAATAACACTAAAAAGAAAACGTTACAACCTACATGTAGAGAAGAAAAGGCAAACAGAGTTGCTTTAAAAATGTTAAAGCGAATGGAGGTGGACAGATTCTCCTGAAAATACTGCCCGACATGTTTATACCGCAGCTTCTCTGCTGTTATTGACTCCGCAGCATCTCTGCATCTCGGGTCTTCTAAGTCGGGTGACTTCTAAACACGCTCCTTTAAGAAAACTTTCTTTGCTTCATTGTGGGGAGAAACAGGAGGCAGCAGTGCAGCGTGAGAATAATTCATGAGGCTTAATTTAGAAATGTAGCTCGTGCTGCTGGAGCCGATAGAAACCTGATAACAGCGCGGCGCCGGGCACGAGCGGAATAAAAATAGAAAGGCGTTAAAAACAACAAGTTAGTGCACACAGAGGAGTGACAGTTTGATGGAGCTGCTCACATGAGCTCCTGCAGCAGCTGCTGACAGCTAATGTTACAGTTCTAAACAGAGCATTGTGATGTGAGTGTAATGGATTAAAAGGAGAAATCCTTCTCTGATATGATGCACTGAAGCGTGCATAAAAGTTGACAGAGTTGCTTACTTAAGAACATTTGTACGCTATCGTACTGGGGATTGCAGCAACGACGTGCAGAGTTCTGCATTATTCACAGAACATATTTTGGGCTTTTCATCAAGGACATCTTATTTTTGGCATGATTATGCTGCACAAAACAGTACAGTTTCTCAATTGTGCATTTGACTCTTTTCATCTGTGCATGTGTTCTGTTTGAAGCTCCATGAAGGTTCTTTGAGAATCATTTGTATCCATATATTAACTCGTGCTACCTGCATCCATTTCTTTACAATGACTCAATCCTTGGAAATTGTTTTCATTTCAATCATTAAAAACCATCATCTTGGAAAATGATCTCTGAACTTATTATATAAACATTAGTATTGAAGAGAGACGAGATGTGGGGAGGAGAGAGTGGGGGATGACATGCAGCACTCACTGATGTCAGAGTCCAACCCATGGCTGCTGGGACGAGGACTATGGCCTCTGTACATGGTGCGCGCAACATGGCCACCCAACAGCAACAACAACAAGCTCACTTCTAACCGATCCCTGGAGGTGTTACAGTAGTTTGCAGATTGAAACACAATGATAAATGGACTTGAGCTTGTATAGTTCTTTTCTAGTCTTCTGACTACTCAAAGCGCTTTTACACCGCATGTCACACCTCCACATTCACACACTGATGGTAGAGACTGCTGTGTAAAGTGACAATCAAATGTACCTAATCCCATTCATACACCTGCACACGCTGCAGACAAAGCAGCGGGAGCAACTTGGGGTTGATAGTCTTGCCCAAGGACATGTTGCCGTCCTTGATACAACCAACTCTACCACTGAGCCACCTGCCGGAACAAATGAGCAGTAGTAGTAATAGTAATAGATGCAGTAATACAGCTACCAGGCAAATACAACTAATAATCAGCATAAAAAGAGCAATAGGCTAACATTACTCACCATCTCCATCAGCTTCAGCAGAACATCACAGGACTCGACAACATCTACTCCTTCAACAGTTTTGATAATCTAGTCCAGCTCGTCTAACCAGGAGAGTTTTACCTTCTCATCACTAGAACCTCCCCTTTTGCCAAACTGGTCTTGTACCATAGTGCAGAGAGCGTTTCTTGGCCTACATGCGTCACTACTTGGAGGAGCATTAAAAGCCCCTCTGGCTCATGTGCTGACTCACTAGCTTGTAAACTTCTGTATTTCTCTGAGTGGTGTACCAGCATTTGACAAACATGCTCATCTACCCAAATTTCAAAGATGCATTTGAACTCCTCTGTGCTCCAAGTCAAGCCACGACTTATTTTCTTTGTAAGTTAACAAGCTAATGTTAGTGAGCGTCTTGGAGTCATCCAAACAGCAAACCGTATGCATGCCATTTGTTATCCTATCCTGGGGAAAGGATGCTGTCACATAATAGTGTAAGGACAGCCCAGGCTGTGTCCTTTGGGCCGCTTTATAATCAGTGTGAACACAAAACAGCCAAGGGAAAAATGCAACAATGCATTCTTTTATCATCTGAATCAGAACAAAGCAAACAAGCTACAGGTGGGAAAGTACCCTTAGAATATATTTTGTATATCACCTATCACTTGAGTAAGATGATGCCATGTCTTCTTTAGGTCTTTTTTTTTTTTCCCTACCATGCAATATGCTGTAAATCAGCCATCCAACATCCTCCACTGTACTGTACATGTGTATGTGTGCAGCACCGCTCTGTGTTTATCTCTGTTCCTCTAGTATCTCTCTCCCCTCTCCCTCCAGCAGCTCTCGCTCTGATAGATGGAAGCTCTCTCGATCTTGACCCCTGGCATCTGGATCTCCGCCATAATGACTGGGCCAAGTGGTGCTAACATGCCTCAGAGAAAGGTCAATAGACCTGAATGGCAATACAGGTATCGACAACGTCATCCGTCAGAGGCTGGAGGGGCTTGAACAACGGCATGACAACAATTGATTGTACATCAGTCAGTGTGGGATCAATTGTGAAATCATTCCTGCATCATTTCCAGTTGCAGGGGAATCAAAGCGAGCCGCCTCTGCACCCTTAAGGGGCGAGATGTATGACAGCTCTCACCTAATCAGACAAACTGCACAAACACATTACCTTCATTATACATAGAGGAGATATGCAGGCTTCTCCCTGTGCATTATTCATTATGCTACATGAAGGGAGCCCCTCAGTGTGGTAGACATGCAGGGAGCGCCCGTTTCATGTGGAGTGTGGAGCTGCTCCAGCTGGGAGTCTGGGGACCCGTTCTATGTATCATGGTGTTACAGTACAACTGGTTTCATTAATTCACATGCACCCCTGGTCATAACAACATGAAACACTCCACACCCACATGCCTGCACTGCGGAAAATATAGTCATTATCTCAGACTGTACTGGCGGTTTTCTTGGAGAAAAATTATCCTAAACAAAAAAGAAAATAAAGAAAGGTAAGGTTGCTATTAAGATCAGCAACTGTCATATAAAGAACATAGCTTATTATAAGTTCATGAATAATTGATAAAAACAGGAGTACTTGTAAAAGACTCCAGACATCAGAATAAAAACTGACTTTTTAGGGGGAGAAAATAACACATACAGTAAGCGTCATACTGATGGTGGGTGGCTGCTTTCAGAATTATTCTTTACCTCTTAATCTATTTATTTAATCTTGATATATCAGACCAAATACAGCCAACAAGCTACCCCAAGTTTTAACTATATGCAGAAGGGTTAACACTGGTGTGACGTGACTCCAAATTGGAAACAGTAAATAGAGTCAGCTGAACTTTCATCATTTAAAATCAAGTCATGTTCTGAGAGTACAGTGAGCACAGAGAAAATGGTTTCATAGCTAACATGATAAAACATATTGGCGGTATTGCTCGTTAAATGCTGAGCAGGTTTATTTTGCAGAGAGCTCAGCTCCCCAAACTCTCTGATACCTGTCTGGCAGAGTGACAGGCTCAGAGAGGTGTCCAAACAGGGAACTCTT